TGCGTCCGCAGCTTTTCCTTTAAATCTGGCTAGGTATAGTCGCGTATCTTTCCCTTGGATCCTAACGAGCTTTTCTTGTATGATTTTCTTAATTGTACCGTCGTTGACTTCGTCTACTGGTACTTCTTCTTCAGCTACATCTTTCCTGTTAGGACTGCGGAGTCTGATTTCTCATATTTCTTTAGTAATGAAACCGGGAATACAGGGTGTTTCCTTGCTATGCTGCCCGTAAGTATAACTTCGACCGCATTCTTTCCGTGTAGGTTTTTAATCACAAAAGGTCCTATGAAGGCGTCCTTCATCTTCCGTGGACCTTTAAGGTTTGTGAAGTTTATCGTAGAAATAAGTACTAGTTCACCAATCTGGAACTTGGGTACTTTGTGTGACTTGTCCCACCGGTTTTTATTATACTCTTTTGCTGCTGTGACGCATTCCGTAGCGTGTTGCTGAGCTCGTTGTAGCATTTTATGGAAATTCACCGCTGTCGGATGGAATGTAGATTCTCCAGGCGTCACCAAATTCCTAGGAGTTCTCAAATTATATCCTCTTTCGACCTCAAATGGTGTTTTCCCTGTTGTGCTGTGAACACTAGAATTGTACGCTATCTCCAATGCTGGTAGTAGGCTCTTCCAATCGTGGGTATACCTGTCGTTGTCTTTGAATTCTAAACCATATGCACAATACCTTCGTATTAGTTCTTCTAAACTGCCTATCGCTCTTTCTGCTAGTCCGTCTGTTTGCGGATGGTACGCTGTAGACATTGCTAGAGATGTGCCGCTTAGTTTGTACAAGCTTTTCCAGAAATCTGAAGTAAATTTTGGGTCTCTGTTGCTTATAATAATACATGGTAATCCTGAATCCGAAATGATCCTTTCCCAGAATAACAAAGCTATATCCATAGCTGTCGCTTCTTTGTGACAGGCTAGAAATCTGCACCTTTTAGAAAAGCGGTCCACTACTACTAACACACAATCAACATTGTCGTGCCCTGCTATCGGTAGTCCTGTTACAAAATCCATATTAATGGTTTCCCAAGGTCTTGTCGGTTCTTCAATGTTCTGCATCAGACCGTATCTCTTGCCTGTAGCCTTATTGGCTTTCTGGCATCTGTCACATGTGCTCGTGTAATCCTCCGTCGTGGTTCTCCATCCTGGCCACCAAGCCGTTTGTTTCACTCTGTCTATCGTTCGTTCCAAGGATAGATGCCCAGACATAATGTCGTCATGACATATTTTAAGGATGCTCGTTATTGTTGATGCTGATGTGATCACCATGACACAGGAATGTTTTTCTCTGTGGTATAGAATGCCACTAAGTAAAGTGAATCTTCCTTCGTCAAATGATTTCTTCCATGGTTTGGTCAGACTATTTGACAGTTCTAATGTTTTGAAATCTTGTTTCAAGATTTCTAACAGCTTTACTGTGTTCGGTTCATCAGCATATTCTTCTCGTATTTGTGCAAAGAATTCTTCCGATAGATCCGATATACTGATCCCCATAATCGGCATGTCTCTGGTGCTATCCTCTGGGTCCCAGGCCGGGTTGTCAATATCATTCTTGAGTGCCATGTGGCTCAAGGCGTCTGCGTTATCATGTTTACGTCCTTCGCGGTGAGTGATAGTCATACAAGATCTGTACTCCTGAATGGCTATCTGCCAACGCAGCATATGCCTATTAGGTGTCTTCATATTTAGCAACAATTTCAATGCCGTGCAGTCTGTGATCACTTCAAAGAACGCTCCATCAAGGTAATAATGAAACTTTTCCAGCGCCCAGACAAGGCATAGGTTTTCCAACTGAGTTGCTCCGTAATTTAACTCAGACTGTTTAAGTTGCCTGGATATACAGCTAATAAGTCCTTCAAAAGGCTTGCCGTCCACTGTCTGCACTTGTTGTAGCGTAGCTCCGAGTCCATCGAAGCTTGCATCCACATAAACTTTGAATGGTAAGTTGAAGTCTGGGTGCAGTAAGAAAGGTGCTTCTGTTAGTTTTTTCTTAAGCATATTCCACGAATCTACTCGTTCCTTGGTCATCTCAAACGTGACACCTTTCTGCAATACTTTATACAAGGGTCCGCTCACTTTAGCAAAGCCCTCTAAGTGTGATCTGTAATAGTTTGCGAAACCTAGAAAGGATTGAACGTCCTTCACTGATTGTGGGATAGTTTTCTGCATTACTGCAGCTACTTTGTTCTGATCAATCGCGATCCATAGTCCTGAGACTATATGCCCCAGGGCTTTGAGTTCTTGGAAGGCAAAATTCGTTTTTTGTAATGATATTGTCATCCCCATTTTGATGATCTTTTGGAACACGTGTGTCAATTTAGCTAAGTGTTCTTCCCAAGTTTTCGAAAATACTATTATATCGTCAATATATATGATAAGCCATCCCTCACTCAATTCCTTGGCGAACTCACTGTCCATCATTCGCTGAAAGTGTGCTGGTGCTCCTTTCACTCCAAACGGCATTTTGAGATATTCGTGTATACCTTTATGTGTAATGATCCTAAGTAGTTTCCTCGTTTCGTCATCTACAATGTTTTGATAAAACCCTTTCATGACATCCATTGTGGAAATATACAATGCAGCGCCAAGGTTAGTCAGGCAATGTGTTATTCTCGGCATAGGGTACCTATCCGGAACTGTGAAAGTGTTGAGTGCTCGAAAGTCTCCGCACATACGGGACTTCCCATTATGCCATGCAATAATAACAGGTGTAGTCACCTCTACGTCTTCATCTGACCCTACCTTTCTTATTATGCCATAGCGTGTCAACTCTCGTGGTGGGCGTGGTGTGAAAAGCGCGCCTTTGAGGCGCGCCCGGGCGTAGGCGTGAGGGCGCGCCCCAAAAGTTGAAATATGGGGTGGGCGCGCCCTTTCAGCCTGTTCTGCCGTTTTTGGGCTTTCTCGCTGTTTTCTTACACCCCACCACCTCCATTCATGCCAAAGGACAATAAGGACCCCGGCAAGCCCCCTGAGAACCCGGGTATGAATTTAGAATAAAATGAGGCCAAAATTTGCCTGAACATATGTATGAAACAAGAATAAGTTCCAAATTTTGGCTGAAAAAACCAAGTAACATAGATATCTGGGAGAATAAACCTAAGTCTTCCAGAATTGAAAAAGAATCAACGTACATATGAATTAAGAATGTGCTGCAGCGGTAAACTCTGAGAAAGTGCTTCTAAATATCACCTAACCAAAAATATTTCCTCGAGGCACTCCTGCGTGTATCAAACCCCAAACCACCAGAACCAATGCCTTCAAGTCCCCCACTGGATCAACCAGAGACCATCACTCTAATCTCGGATGATGATATGGACATCATAGCTGCAATAATCACTCCCAAGAAACGCTCCCACAATGAAGTTGAAAGGCCTGCAATTCAAGCTACAGAGATCCCTGATCTCAAGATGGAGCGCAGGTGCAGGACTAGAATTTGTCAAATGGGCCCCTTTATGTGTCTTGTGATGTATCTTTCATGATTGACCTGTGTGCGCCAAACTTGTCAAAAAAAGTCGTTTTTGTTTTTGCTTTTTCAAGCGGCTCAAAACGTGCGGAAACAAACTTTCCAAACATACACAGATGGTAAGAATAGAATTCACAATATTCAAAAACCAGATTTCACACCAAGTGTGAACATAGGTATCCATTGAGAATAAAAACAGGATTTTGGCTGATTTCCGGGATTTTTCTAGGAATAAAAACCACAAAATTTTGGAGTTTACCTATTGGGGTTCCACCAGGGCTAGCCGGGGTCCTGGACAATACCAAGACACCATCTGAGTGGATTTCACCAACTGTAAACTTTGGAAACTGATGGAAAGGTTCCCTTATGTCGAAAAAATCAACACGGCACCAAAAACCGCAGGCTTGCTCAATGCCAGTATTGTAAAGTTACAATATTCAATTTTGAAAATTTCCATTGTTCTCCATCCAAGTAATAAATATCTGCAAGAATTCATCCTCAGGCTTCCCCTTGCAACAGTTTCGACAGTTTTTTTGTCCCTTTTTGATTTTTTTGATTTTTTTTTAGTTTTTTTCCATTTTTTTCGATTTTACGTACTCAAAAGGCGCGCCCTTGACGCCCCCACTATAGGCGTGCCTTTGAAAAGATTCAAAAGGCGCGCTGGGCGCGCCCTAAATCCAAACCTTGCGCCCACCACGAGAGTGTCAACTCATCTATGTGTTTCTCTATTTCATCCCTGCTTCGGGGACTCGCGGGGTATGCTTGTTTCTTAAGTATAGGGGGGTACGGTTTGTCAATGGTCAGTCTAATCTTCAGTTCATGACCTCTGATTGTACCAATAGGATTGTCACCGAACGCGAAGGCTTCCCTGTATTTCGAAATCACTGCTCTGAGTGAGTGGGCTTCTGATGATTTCAGTCTCAGTGATATGTTACACTTGTTAAAGGCTTTTTCAAAGGCTTTATTCTCTTCTTTGTCTACGCTCCAAATATTCTTCGTTGGGGCTGAGGTAAGCAGAAATTTCTTTCTTTTATTTTCATTTCCTATTGTAAAATATTTTTCTTTGCTATGTACAATATCTATCCCATATAATCGTAAATATTCGCCTCCTAATATAAAATAGTTTGCTGTTGCGTTCTCCATGATGACAAACTCCGGTTGTATCCTGACTGAACCTAGTCTGTGAGGGAAGACAATGGGGAGTTCTATGACTCCGATGGCTTTCAGACTGCTACTGCAACCTCTGAATGTCATACTACTCGGTGGCAGCATGTTTTCTTGCCATGTTGGATATAATTTATTAAGGTAATTTCTTCCTACCACTGAATACGCCGCTCCGCTATCCAGTAATATATCTGCTGTCTCTTTGTTATGTATCAATATCGAGGTAATGCAGTGTTGGCCAATCGTATGTGCTCGCCCCTTCTCTGGTTTGCTCATCATAAGTCTTGCATCTAAAACTTGGTTTGATGCATCTGTTTCTTTGTCCCAAATCTGTGGAACCGATGCTTGTGATTGCAGGTCTGCAATGTCTAGATTCTCGTCATGTTCCATTGTAATGGTGGCAATTTCTGTATCTTTCCGATGCTTGATCTCGCTGCCTGATAGCAGAGAGAACTTGAAGATCTCACCCTTCGATCGAAGTTCACAAAATCTCTTGGTGCCTAAGTATATCATAAATTTATAATTGTTCAGATCCTGACTTCCTAACTCAGGGTAACATAGTTTCGGATCGTTGATTACGATGAACATGATCCTTAGGAAACACGGTTTCGTAGCGTGTTCTAGTTTTACTAGTACATGTATATGTCCTGCTTTGCTCGGGATCTCGTCTGGATCGTCCGTGGATGGTATAAGATAATCTTCCCAGTCTGGGTAACATGCGCGCAAAAAGTTCAGAGGGATGACCGACACGTCCGTCCCTGTTTGTATCATGATGTTCCCCAAATTTCCATTAATCGATATTTTCAGGAATGTTCTTGGTTCTGAATCCTTAAAATGAAAGTGTTCGATAGAAGGTGGAGGAGTCTGTTGTGTATAATTTGTGACGTTGCTTTCGCCGAGTCCTTCCTCAGCTTCGTCCGCTTGACTGTCTCCAACGGCTATCTGTACAGGACTTTCCATATGTATTCCTGTAGTGTTTGACATGTCTATGTTTCCTATACAGAAATCTACTTCGTCTTCTGTCGTGTCTGATTCTGAGAGACTGTTCTCTTCTTTTTCCCGAGAGTCTTCTGACTCTTTCTCGTCTTCTGCTTCTTCGATAGCGTTAATCTGCTTTCTCTCGAACCGAGGTTTCCTTGTGTCATCTCGTCTAAAGGGCGGTTTCTCATAGGTTTTCCCCGCTCCGCCAGGTAATTTGGCTCCTTTAAAGTCTCTCGACGGGATGTATGCATCTTTAGGTGTATCTTTCGCTAAAGGATATGTCGTTGCCGTCTTTTGGAAGTTATTCTTTTGCGTGGAATATTTCCCAATAGAAGTGGTTGTGACAATATCTTCAAATATGATCATGAAGGCTTCATAATCATTCGGGTCTGTGATTCTTGATCGTACTGCATGTTCCAGATCTCCTCTACACTGGCCCAGAATTTTATCTATCTGTTCAGATGTTGTAAAATATGGCCATGCTGCTTCTATGCGTTTCCGTTGATTCAGCAACCATGAAAGTGGTTTCTTTCGATGTTTGACTTCAAAGGTATCTTTTTCGAAAGCTGTACCCATCTTTCTCTTCCACGAGGATGTTCCGAAACTCTGTTTAATAAGTGTCTTCCAGCGTTCCCAGCTGACGGAACCTTCACACTTTCGCTTACTTGCATACCATTCTCTTGCTGAATGTGTCATGATGGTACCCAACTTACATGTGATTAAGCAATCTAGTAAGCGGAAGTCTTTTGCCGTATTGTCTATCCACTCAATCCAGACTAGGTGATTATATTCACCTTCTCCGCTAAACTTTGGCCAGTCTTTGACTGGTGGAGCGCTTTTCCTCAACTGTCAATCTGTGTCCGACTCTTGATTCATCTTATCAGCTCCGTTCGGTTGTGGGTTGTTATTAGCTCGTACTGCTTCATTCCCGTTCTTTGGCGGTATCTCAGGAGGCTGCTGCTGCATTCTTTGTGCTTTATACTCTTGCTCGAATGGGTTATTGCTCAATGGGATCTCCTCCTCGGATACCGTAGCCGTAGGTATTGTTGCTTCTGTGTGGTTATTTGGTTTGTATGATTCTTTTCCTACTAGTGAAATCACTCTTACCACATTATGGTATATCTGGTTATTACTGTGTGATATTGCGTCCATTTTTTCGCCCAAGGCGCACATAAGGTCACCTAGATGTTTATAGTAGAACTCTGCGTGATCTCTCTGCGCTTTCACCACTTTTTCTAGCAGGTTTTCTACTCTCGTAAGGTATTCTGTGAGTACCGTTTTCATAGGGCTATGACCCATTCCTTCTGTATTCTTATGAAGATTGTCTTTGACTTCTTCAAAGTTTATCGCTATCTCGTCATTAAGCATATTGAGTCCTGAATCTACTTTCTCATTCAGTTGATTTACCGCCTCGTCTAGCTTATTTTCAATGTTATTCTGGAAGTTCTTCAGTTCTTCGTTGAACTGTATCTTATTTTCCATCAATGAGATGTGCGATCTAGGTGAGGTAGTCTCGCTGCTAATTTTCATAGCCTTGAATTTAGTGTTTAAACTAAACTCTCTCTCTAGAGGCTCTGGGGTTTGATGTGTCAGAAAGCCTGGCACAGGTGCCGCTTTTGCAAAGGCTGATAACTCTTGTTCTGAGTCTTTCAATATCTCATCAATACTTCTGGTTTTAATCAGGCTGCTTTCCTGGGCAAGGTTATCATTAGACAAGTCTTGTAAATGTACAGGATTTCTAAAGGGCAAGGTTGTTCTGTTCTCATATGACGCGTTTTTGTGCAAGGGCTTCTTATTGCTCTCTGTTTGGAGCTTATTCATAATTGGCACAATGCTTTCAGCAGATTTGTTATTACTTGGAATAGCAGTAGTAACAGCAGACGGTGTGGAAATCAAAAAAAATATCTATGTTACAGATCTTATAAACACCTCAATTCCCTTCAAAATTCAAAATTCAAATTTCATTTTATTTAAGAAGACCATCTTCAAACTCAAAGTTTATTCCTTTTATATATCTTATTTTTGAGATCATTATGTTATAAACACATTTTTTTGCATTTTCTTTTAGATCATTTTTTATATACACATATTAATTTACTTCAGTTAATTTTACTCAAGTGAACACAATCAGAAAACAATTTCTAGATTATATATATATATATATATATAACAAGCAGGCAGACCACATCAAATTAACACACAAAATAAAATCATACTCAAATCATTTGATCCAGCTTGAAACAAAGCACCAAGAAAATAAAAAACAAAAGAACAATGAAAGAAAGATTTAATCTAGAAATGGGATAGAAGTGAAAACAAAAGTATTTTTTAGTTACTATGGAATCAACACGAACTAGAAGAAGAACACAAAACAGGAAACATGAGTTACTTACAATGGAACATTTCACTTGAAAGATATCAATCAGA